GAGCCTGTTTCTTGCCCTTCTCTGAATCCTTTCCTCAAACATGCCTCTTTACTTTTGTTCTCAATCCTCTGTAACCCCTTGCATGCTAGTAGCATTCCTGTCTTGCTTGGGGTGAATTGCCTTAAAAAAATCGAGCATATATTTATTAACACCATCAATATATATGCGATATATTATAACTTTTTTTTTGATGATAGACTTTTCCAGGTTACAAATAATATTATTGTCACTCCCTACCTAAAAATAGATAGAGACAATAGGTAAGTTTAGAAACTCTAACGGAATTTCCTCCTTCAGAAAGTCGAAAATTGGGACCATATTTCCAGTAGATTTCTTCCGAAATGAACTTCGGATGATTTCTGAGGAAATTTACTCATTGTCTGAGAAGAAGGATCCGTAAGTTTGAAAGGTCAATCATTAAAATTAATTAACATAAAGGTCTGTCGTTGTTAATAATATTTTCGTTAACGAACATTTTCTGCCTAAATACGCGAAATATTATTATAATAAATCAAATAAAACACGCTGTAAGGACCGTATTGGATGTAAACCATGAGACATGCACTTAGAGCCAATATTATCGCTTATTATCTGGTGTAATCACACGGTCACGATGACTTGTGACTTTGTTCTACCAAATAATTCTGTCTACCCAATTTCACTCACAAGGTGCCACAGGTTGAGATCACATCCCCAGGATGATAACATCAAGAAGTCACCTTTCTAATAAATCGACAATAAGATTCGATCCCGGGTTTCATGATCGTTAAAGCGACTGTCTTAGCCACCTCTACATGTATATAGAGATTTTCCAAGCGTAGCTTAGATGTGGCACAGGGCCGAAAGTATGGGGCACCCAGTGAGGATCGAACTCACTACTTAGTCGTATTTGTTCTCGCGAAACAAGCTTGCTAATCATTACACCGCCTCGAGGTGCTATATATATATATATATATATATATATATATATATATATATATATATATATATATATATATATATATATATATATATATAAACTAAAGAAAATATTTAGAATTTGATTGTATATGAATAAATAAATTTTTAAATCATTATCTTTTCGTTGTATTATAAGGCCACAAACGCCACTGAAAATCCTGTCATAAAAAATGGGGGGGGGAGGCTATGACGATGGTCATTTGGATAAAAACAGAATCTCTCAGGTGCGTGATATGGTCGATATGTAAATACGCCGAATCAACCGTGCTGGATTCGTCGGCGAAATAATTACAAAATAGAAATACTTGTATATATCGAAAATGCATAAGGGTTAGCGGAATGAACTGACTCAGCATGATGTAGTCACCTCCTCAAATGAAAAGTATGATAAAATAATAGTAATAATGATCACAACTTAAATAAATAAAAAGACTGATACAAAAAAATAATGATTTATCAAAACGATATTTTATGTTTATTTACTTATTTTCGTACAGAATTTTCATCAATTTATTTTTAGTAAACTGTTGCAGTGTTGGTGAAGTTACCTAGGAGGTATGGTTCGAGTCTAAGTAATAAGGCCAGGATTTGAAATATTACGTTTCTTACATAGACAAACTCTTTTCTCTTGTAATATTGGCGTAAAATAAAATACCTTATATGTATTAAAATCTCTCCTCTTGGCCTCCTGTGTTACTAATCTTAGTAAACATTATGTTATTGGCTGGAAGTGACGACGAGTCATCATAATAGAAGTGAAAATAATAGAAATTAAAATAAAACATAAATAAAAACAGACGAAAAGGTGAAATATTTGTAAAGTAAGGAAGGAATAACGATAGAATAAATCCAAGTGAAACGGATGCATGAATTAATATACAAGAATAATGTATGAAGGAATGAAAAAGGAATAAGACAAGAGGAAGGAATGATGTGAGCGAATGAATAAAAGAAACATGGCCAAATGAGGGGTGGAAAACAGAAATGAATGAAGACAAATATATTAGAATAAAACTCAAAACAAAACGCGTCAAAAGTTAAAAAGAGTAAGGCATACAGACGACACGATGGGGAAGTGAATATATGTAAACTACAAGATTAAGTAAGTTGTCCCTTGGCACAGTTACGATACATTAATTCTCGGCGCAATAAATAGGTCTAATTATTGTAGACAAGCGCCATCAACCAACGGGAACCCGGTTCGAAAGCAGTGACGCTAACGATGATGGCAGCAATAGTAATAGTAGTCGTCATCGTCGTCGTCGTAGTAGTAGTAGTTCGAGGTTTGGCAGAAAGCGAAGAGACAGCGGCGGTTACACGATGGTGGTTGAGACGTTAATTCTAGTTTCTCTTACGTATTTATTGCTCCTCGATGGCATATAGTAATGAGAATGCGAATGTGCGAGAAAAGAAAAAAAAAAACAAGCATGATGATGGAAGGTGAGAGGAAGTACAGACGAGAAGTGGGTTTGAAAGAGAGTTTGATTTTGAAGAGAGTTAAATTGAAAAAATTGAAAAATGAATGAATGGAAAAAACAGAAAATAGACAAGAAAGATGTGTATGAGAGGGGAAAAGACTGAAAGAGATTTTAACTGAAGACGAAAAACATCAAAAAGTAAACGGAGTTTTTTAAAAAAAGAAAGGAACCATTATAAGTACGTGTGTAAAATATGAGAGATTGAATATTAATAGAATAGTTTTTTTTCCAAAAAAACCTGATAGAAATGATGCATGTGAAAAATGAATAGAAATGAAAATATAACGATATATATATATATATATATATATATATATATATATATATATATATAGGGCTAAAAACTCAGTAACTAGAAAGATATTTACATGGCAAAAGATAAGAACAGATAAAGAGAGATGAAAGTGAAGAGACACAAAACAGGGGTATATCACGAGAGCGACTGAAGATACAGGGAGAGAGAGAGAGTAGAAGAATGATGTATATTGATGAAACTTTAAAGAGAGAACGAGCCTGCAAAAGAAAAATTAAAAAAAAAAACAAGGAGATAACTTGACATCTTGAAGCGCGAACTAAGGGAGAGTAAGGAGATGCGGAGAGTCTGCATCAGAAAGGAGAGCGATTTGCACAGCAAAGGAAACTCCAAAATAAAGCAACCATGAAAGAGGAGAGGAAGAGAGATGTGTAAAAGGGATATTCGATACGGTGTAGCATTATCAGTAGTAGTGGCACTGGTAAGTACAGTAGTAATAATATCGAATATAGTAATACAGCGAGCCGTACTGGTTGTAGCAGTACTAATTGCTTGAGCATCAGAAGTAATAACAACAGCAGCATCAGCAGCGGTAGCAGTAGTCGTAATAGTAGTTGCAGTAACTCTGCCGACGAAGGTAGTAGTTGGAGACGCCGGAGTAGGAGTTAGGAAGATAACAATCGCTGAGTGGAGAGAGAGAGAGAGAGCCCGTTTGGAGTACACTATGAGGATTTATGCACGTCTTTATATGGTGATTTGATGAATGCTTAGCCGTCGTTTTAATGTCACCAAAGGACAGAAAAATTGACCACGTGTGAGTTTAACCCTTCTTTTTCTTTGCCAATCACCTCCCGACAATGTGCCTATCTTTTTGTCCGTGTATTCATTGGTGTATACACGATACAGTATGTATATAAACGAATACAAGCAACAGTATGATTGAGAGAGAGAGAGAGAGAGAGAGGAAGTAGAGCGACAAGTTGTGAAATGTAGAGAGGTGGAAGCATAAGAGTGAGAGGCTGAAAACACCAGTGTGTATATGAATGATAAAGAGAGGGAGGGAAGAAAGAAAGAAAGAATGCAATTTTTTTGATGTGTGTGTTTGTTTGTGTGTGTGTGTGTTATTAACAGTATATATGTATATATTGGCATATGCATCTCAGCATTTATTTGCTATTGCTGTGTAAGATAGATTTTCTCCTTTTTACACATTTTAATTTAATTTTGTTTATCATTTTTTTAAGGTAATCTTTGGGAAATAAGAATATTCGTGGCTATATGCGACGTCTATATTTATGTAAGATTATATATATATATATATATATATATATATATATATATATATACATACACGATTCACGCAAAGAGTGTCTGTATTTTCACAATGATTTTGTCTCTCTGTTGATATTCTTTCGACAAACAAGTCTGTGAGAAACAGCAAGGACTCCAGACTTTACTTGGCCAATATTTCCCATTTCTGAAAATTTAGCACCTAATATTATGCACCTATATTCTGCATTTTATATTCGAGTTTTGAATTATATATATATATTGTGTGTGTGTGTGTGTGTGTTTGACTGCATTTTGTGGGGATATGTTTCCTTGTTGTCTTTGCATATGTGTACATAGAAAGAAGTAAATTAAGAATTCATCAAGTGAAAATTGTTCCAAATAGAATTTATAAGTTCACATACACACTTCAGAGATGCGCGCATCCTTATTAGAATATATATATATATATATATATATATATATATATATATAGATATAGATTTTCAAGCATATTCACACGTTTAGGACATTCAACGGACACAGTAAGAATAACTCATTTGTACACATAAGCCATATATATATATATATATATATATATATATATATATATATATATAGCCTGTGTCTGTATACCATTTTGCATAGTTTTATCTATATTCTATATTTTTATATATATATATATATATTGCGCTAACCACAGGTGCGTGATGAAGAATATAACAGGTCTAAGATGAAGAAAGAAATCGAAAAATCACAGTCGCGTTGCACTTCACACACGCACATATATATATATATATATATATATATATATATATATATATACATATGTGTGTGGTGTAACCTATATGCATGCATGTATACAAATCAAATCTTGTTATATACTGATATATATATATATATATATATATATATATATATATATATATATATATATATATATGTTTATTTATATGAATATCTATGCATTTGCACACATACACCATGATGTGCTGAAAGGTTCTCAGTCCAAACAAGAAGCCTTTACCAAAAGATTCAACGTTTGTTATATTTTGCAGAATGATCTCATAAAAGTAAGCATATACGCACGCCTATATATATGTGCATGAGTATAAAAGTGCATATTATCAGACATATATACACGTACATAGATAGACAGACTGATATTTTTATGAGTGTGCTATTAATTTTGAGTCTCTCTTTATCATTAAGGCTGTTCCTAGTCGAACAGAAAGCGAAACCATCCTTCGTGAAACGTGTCCCCTCCTATTACTTTGTAGTTTCACTTTCATTTTCAACTGTTAAAATTTTTCACCAAGCTGATAGTTACTTTCTGAGTTACATCTTGTCTTTCTCACGATTCATTTCTCCTTTAGCTTCTTATCTTGTTTTTGTATATTATTATCTATACTTTTTGGAAGACGAAATATGCTTCGGGTCGATAGTAATTCCTTGTTTGCCCTATATATATATATATATATATATATTCACATTCACGAATGTCCGCTTTTCGTTTCATGCGAGAGACTGGAATGGATAACGATATGAAAGCAGCCAAGTCAGTCTTACGAATTACTTGCAATTTTAACTGACGAAATCCATTACTCTCTCAAATAAACATGCCTTCTCGTCACTGGTAGTAATTCTAAAAGCATATACACTCAGACCACATAAACACAGACACACACGCACATACATACATACATACATGCATACATACATATATATATATAGATAGATAAATTTTAACTTATCAAGGTACGTGTGTTAATAAAATTATATGTACATTTCTTTTAGAAGACACTTAAAATATATTGGAATTTATAGACTGCTTGCTTTAGCTGTGATACTTTTCTTGTCACGTACACACACACACACATATATATATATATATATATATATATATATATATATATATATATATATATATATATATATATATATATATAATAGAAAGGTAATGATATTGTTTAATTTGATGTGTTTATAGGGAAATAGTGCTCAATACCATGGATAGAGACTTAAGGCGTGAAGATGCAATCTGTATGTAAATATAGTTAAATAAACGTAAAATTATATATCTTTCACGGCACACACACACACACACATATATATATATATATATATATATATATATATATATATATATATATTCGTGCCGTAACGCTCTATTTCCGATATTGAGAACTGCTTCCCTATAGCTATAACGCTATTTTTAAAAGAATAATATATATATATATATATATATATATATATATATATATATATAGTGTGTGTGAAATACACTTCTAATCGCCAAGGTAATTTTTCTATATAACATTTGAGGCATTAATTCATTTCTTTCTCTCATATAATTTCAAATACTTTCTGAATTAGCGAATCGAGTTCTTTTATAAATATTATAGAAATGGTGTTGACGATTCCACCACGATTCATGTCTTAAATCCTTACACTCCTATACACACAGAGCGTAAAAAATAATTGCCAGGTAGAGATGATTTTTTTTCCCATCGGCACAAGCTGCTGATGTTCAAGCCCAGGTAAAAAAAAAAAAAATCAAACCCTCCTTACCCTCTTTGGCAGATAACACATTATATCTTGGTCCTGATTCGCCCTTGTATACACAGTCAATATCATAAACACAACTTAATAGCAATGTTAAAATATTACACATGCATAGATATAAACGTATGATTATATGTATATCTCAATAGAGAGCGGGAGATGTAAGAAGCTGAGTTAATTCTGGCAAAAACCATATGGAATTAGGAAAACTATCAGTCGCTAGTTATCTAAGTTGGGGAATCAGTATTCAAAGTCATCGCTTTTATCTGGACTCGACCGCCTGTTCTCATGAGAGAAGCGCTACTCCCTCCTTCAATAAGCAGGCTATGTAGTTGTCTCGCAGACCAATTATTAAGTAATGGGAAGCACGATGGTGGCCTTTTACCAGACCAAGCAAGGCCTGGCAATGACTATATTATGTTTCGATTTCTGTAGGTTTGCACTTGCTCTCAGAAATAACATTAACATTTCCTTTTATAAAGGATGTCTCTGTTCATTGTTGAGAATATATGAGGTTGCATGAATAACTCAATGTCTTCAGACGAAATTCGCTGAAATTTGATCTGAAATTTCAACTATAGATTTATTACGTATTTTAGCGCATGTTGATATTTGCCGTAACGAATGGTCGAGCATATAAAATTTGCTATATATATATATATATACATACACACACACACACACACACACACACACACATATATATATATATATATATATACATACACACACACATATATATATATATACACACACACACACACATATATATATATATATATATATACACATATATGGGTGTTTGAGTGTGTATGTATGTGTGAGTTGGTGTCTATATGTGTTTGATAAATATATATTTATGTCTATGCGTTTTATTTATATATATATATAGAGAGAGAGAGAGTGTGTTTTTAATTTTTTTTCTGGATGAAGATTCCCCATTATCAGAGATAGCATGCGTACATATAGACAATGTGGACATGGTCAGAATATCGCTTGAGGCGTGAAACTGACATTCATCGTGTACTGTCGATTTTCATAGTCAAAATCACACACATACATACACACACACACACACACACATATATATATATATATATATATATATACACATGTTCTTGCATCAGGAGAATATATTTATGTAGAAATTTACAACTCTTTTCCACTATGTCTCTCTCACTTTACACACACAGACATAAAGATAATATTTAAATCATATTTTGCAAGATTTAAATATATGTATAATACTTTAGTAATAAGCACTTTCAATATATCTTTCGCTTCCTACACCATATACGGAAAATCGTGTTTTTTAAGTATATTTATAGAAATGAAATCCTGATATATGACAAGACTTAGAATATATTCACACATATGTACACGCTAAATGCCTAGACCAGGTGTTTTGATGATGTTATAGAAAAAATTAATATCGACAAAATGATTTCACAGGTGCGAAGAAGTAAGATTGCACATACTCAAGTATAATCGTTTTGCACATCGAGAAACATATTTTATGCGATGACTAAACATCAATCACGATTACAAACAGCCATTCCCACACGAACCCATTTTCTCTGGTGGAGCTAGAGAAAATTATAGGTAGATGTGGTGATAAATAAATGTTTATGGCAGTGACTTTTAGTCTTATTGGATGACGAAAATATTTCCACGAATGCACACAGACACACACACATATATATGAGAAAAGTAAAGATTTTAGTTATGCTATATTTATGAGTAAAAATATTCAACTTCACGGATAAAGTGTGTGTAACTAAAAATGTGGATGCTAAGGTCAACACAAAAACGACAGTTTCAGGTTTAAAAGCGATCTTCAATATTTGAATATTTAGTTCGATCGTTAAAAAGAATGTCACCCAAGTGATGACTTCAGTGACCAGACACACATCCATCTATTTATCTGCCTATTTTTCTGTCTCTCTATATATATATATATATATATAATTACATGTATTAATGTATAGACAACGTGTTTAAATCTCTCTACACTTTATGCCCATTTGCTATACTACTGCTATATACAAGGATATAGAGACATATTTTCATCGTACAGGGTATGACGATAAACTACATCTGGCAGAGAACGTTCTGAGCGTGGAATCACCTGAATTTCTGTTGTTCTCAAGTCCACCCTGCTGACGCGGGGTGT